GAATGGGCAATCTCTCCCCGTGTGATTAACTGGCTCTGAAAACTCTCTGGAGGGCCATCTGTGGGTCGGTTCCGACTCCATGGTTCACCACCACTACCACCACCACAACAAATACAACAGTCATGCTTTTACAAGTCAAAATGTTATTTGACCTGTGTGTTGTTGCTGATTATCTTCCAGTTGAGCATGACTCATAGCGACCCTATGAGCAAAAGGCTTAAAGCCCCTGTACAACTATCGACATTTATCAAAGTTCATAGGGTTTCTGGAGGCATGTTATTTAGGAAGTGGATGCCACTCCTGCTTCCTAAAAAGGTAAAAATTTTTAAACACAATTATTTTTGAAACAAACATCTTCCTCTATTATTTATATCTGTCCTCCATTATTTATATTTGTGACTGTCACCACTGTTCTGTTTTTTTCCAAAAATATACCTTAGGGGGGGAAAATATACCTTAGACCATTAAGATTTTTCATAGTCAAGATTAAGTACTGTTTTCAGGTAATCCTGGAATAAAAAAGGTTTTCCCCCTTTCAAAGGCATTTTATCCAGTGTCCATAAAAGGTAAAAAGAAAATTTTTGCTCTATGTGTTCTTCACAAAGAAGCATGTCATAAATGTCACTGCTTTTTCCTCGTTAAAACTCTTTCCTATTCCGTTAATCTAAAACTCTTCAAATATTATTTAAATAAAATCTCTCCTTGATCTTTTCATTGCCTTCATTCATTCTGCAGGAGACCTCCAGTGTGTGCTTCACAATACACTTCATTCACCCTTGTCAACTTCAACAGCAAAAGGGCCTCATGTAAAGATTCAAATTCATAGAAAATGCCACCTTTCCCCTCTTCTCTAAATTAGTAACTTATTCTTACTTTAATATAAAATTCACCTCCCTTTATACTGACCTTCCCACTGGCCAATTTTGAAAGCACTAGGCTTCCAAAAACCACTGGAATAAATCCATCAAAACACTTTCTAATCAGAGCTCAAACTGACAATGCAAACAGCAGAGTGGATTTATAACTTGTTCACTGCTCACCTTTGCTGAGGTTTCAAACCACCCACTGAAGCCATGTTCCTTGCAGAACTGGTCCATCTGGGACGGGCTATGACCATCATCGTTCTTCTGGTCACACTTGTTGGCTAGCAGGACAGCAGGGATGGGGCTACCATTTGGAAGATGCACTTTACTGTCCAGATCACTTTTCCATTTTAAGACTGCTTCAAATGTAGACCCTCTTGATATGTCAAAGACTACAAAAGCACCAACAGCTTCTTTATAATATACTCGAGTCATGTTGCCAAACCGTTCCTGTCCTAGAAAGAAATGAGAAATTAAAAGAGTCATAATTCAGAGAGTTTCTATCTACACATAACTTCTTTGATTTTTAAGAATAAAACCATAGATCTACAGCAATATAAATGGGTGGGGAACATCCAAACTTATCTATGACCCAAAAGCAGAAGTGGCTACTCATACACTTTGAGTACACACAATTAACTGTTTTATTTTCTGCACACAAACAATGCATTTTTCATAAATAGTTAAGAGTCAGTCATTTTGTCCTCCTCTCCCCTTATAAGAAAGCTAGGAGTAGGGAGAAAAAAAAACAAAAAACCAACCAAAACACAACCAAAACAAGAATGGAAGAAAATGAAGCATGCAGGAAGGAGATAAGTGCAGAGTGCAGTGGGTGAAATGCCACGCAAAAGATTAGAACTGGCCAGGAGATAAGGGAGCTCATGCTCTCAATTCATCTTTCTTTCATATCTCTATCTTTTACCCATTTTTTTAAACCCATAGGGTACAGAGTTATAAATTTTAGGCTGACAATAGTCATCATTTTTCCTTTGTATGCCAGTCAGCAATTTGGCAACCTGAAGGTTTAGAAGTCAAGGCCTCTGTCAAAGAGAACAGCATGCATGGCACTAGACTTTCACCGGCCTAGTGAGAGTCAACAGGCCTGGATTCTATCTCCGTTAGGACTCAACATGGAGGATTAGTCTCCTTTCAGAAGGTAAACGCACAGAAACCTGAACAAAAATCAGGACATTCAATTATATTATTAAACGAGTCAATTGTTCAAATAGCAGCATACTTTAAAAAAAACTTACATTGAATGTTTTCAATTTTTTTTTCATCTACTGCTTAGTAGATCACACCAGACTTTGAAAGGAATTATTTTATTGGGTGGTTCATATTAATCTCATGTATAAAGGACCCTTATCTTCATCTGACAGATAAAGAGCCCAAGATGTTTGGCCAGGATTACAGCTGCACTGACTAATGGAGACAAGATTAGAATCCAGGCCTGTTGACTCTCATAAAGTTATGAAATCATGTCTAGTGCCAGGGGCTCTGTTCTCTCTTGCAGAGTGGCCTTGACTTCTAAACCTTCAGGTTGACAAACTGCTGACTAGAATTTTAAGGAAGGATGGTGATTAATGTAAGCCTAAAATGTATAACTATTTGTCCTATGATAAAGATGCAAAGATGGAACACTTTCCTACTAAAATACATGATGGAAAAACAAGTTTTATCTGTATTTTGCGGCCAAATGCAAAGCTGCCAAAAATATACTTTGTTTAAAATTCCACTATAATTTTAGAAAATGTTAAATATTGCTTGCTGGAAAGAGGGGAGTAGACAGTAACAGCTAAAGCTGAATGGATGGCTAACAGTTGAATTGTTTTGTGACACCTTCTCACATGGGCTTATCTGAAGCTCAACCGTGTTAGTCCAAATGTCTGAATTTTATTCTAATATATGATAATTTATGACACTAAAAAGGATTAAAAACTCCATCATCATGCTATGTTTTGTAGTATAAATCTGTTCAGTCAACTGTCAGCTCCAGTCAGAATGGTGATATTCATAAAATACTAGCATTATACCATTTTTCATAAATAGGTATTTAATAATCATACAAGACATGCTCACAGAAAATCAAAACTCAAAGTCACAGCTGTTTACTTGGAACAGACTCACAAACTGACTGCGCAGTAGGCCAGAGACTAAACATGGCATGGGAGGTAACTGCGTAGTTTTCTCCTGCAGAGAGACTGGTAGATTTGAACCATAAGAGAGGCATGGCCTTCTGGCTAGCAGCACAGCTCTGTATACACTATGCCACCAGAGCCCAGAGGAGACACTAACTGACATGACTATCTTACAATAAAGGCCACACAGACACAATGAACTGGTTTGCTGCCAACCCCAAAGGCTCACAGTTCAAACCCAGGAGCTGCTCCTTGGGAGAGAGATGGGCAATCATCCCCTGTGCGATTTACTGCTTCTGGAAACCCACCAGAGGGTCAGCTCTGAGTTGGTTCCACCATGATGGTATCAAACAGCATTCCAGTATCAAGTAGAGCGCAGACACGTATGACTCAGGAGAGGAAGGGCAATGGGTTACAAAGGGCAAGAGGAAACATTTTTGGGAGTGACAGAATGTTTACAATCTTGATTATAGCATGTTTTACAAATATCAAAACTCAAATGACATAGTTTATGGTATGCCAATTATACCACAATAAAGTCACTGGGTGGGGGGATTGGGGGTTGAAATAAAATGGCTGTGCAGGAACTTTGAGGGGCAGTTTAGCAAACTGTGGTCCATGACCAAATCCTGCTAAAAAAGCGTAGGTGGGATAGAGGCACCCTCATTCATTTACTTCTTGTCCATTTGTGTTGGGTTTTTTTTTCTCATAAAGGCAGATTTGAGTAGTTGAGGCATAGACTATAAAGCCTGAAGAACCTAAAGTATTTGCTTTCAAGTATTTTACAGGGGAAAAAAATAGTAGTTTTCTATTCTAGGGGCCTAGAAATATTGCACATTTTAAACTGGAGGGAGAATATAAAAATTCATGGACGAACACTTAATATCTGTGCATGTAAATTACATTTTACTTTCAAAAAAGTACAAAATTCTAGGGCAGCGGGAACACTGTATTAATGTGAGGAGCTCTGATAAGTAAGACCTTTCACGTTAGGGGCTCACAGGAAATTGCTCTGTTAACCCAAAGGTCTTGATTTGGGGCAAAGTGGGAAATCTCCCATGTGATTTTCAGTCCAGGAAACCCACCAGGAGTCAGCTGAGTCCACTTCAACTTAACAGCAATCAATAGTTTAATTGCTGCTGTTAGTTGCATTGCAGAAACTGTAACTCATGACCTCCTCATGTGTGCAGGCTAGAACCGTGTTAAGGATGTTCTGCCTATGACCTTTAGGAATGTGATCACCAGGTCTGTCTTTTGCAATAAAATGGGGTTGAACTGCCAGCCTTTCTACTTGCTATCAGTTGAGCAATGATAGTCTACGCTCCCAGAGACTCTTAACCACTCATAGCAACTCTCCAGCAGGCTTCAATATCGTACATCTTACTGGAGGAGACTATTCCCCATCGTCCTCTGGCCAAGTGGGTGGTGGATTCAGTTAATCTTTCAGTTAGCTGACCAACATAGAGAAAACAGTAGGCCTCCAGGGTTACTATTAGTAAGTAATAATCACATTATTATTAGGTACTTGATAAATTTATTATATGAAAAATAAGGAGTCTAAGGATCATTTTTAAAACAACTTTCCTCCCTCTCCCATTTTTTTAAAGTTAGAAGATTTCTAAGACACTATATGTTGTTGTTGTTGTTGTTGCAGTATACAGATGAGTTGAAACGAACTCATAGCTGACCCTCCAGCAAGTTTTCAGAGGCAATAAATAAGACTGGAGAAGACTGCCGATCTTTCTCCCACAGAGCAGCTGGTGGATTCCAATTAGGGAATGGGAAAAGATAAGAGGAATCATTCATTCATTCATTCATTCACTTCTAGGAGTTGCTCTACAAAAGCCCAACAAATTTAACCAATATACAAAGTTAACTTGAAGATCCTTTCTTCACATTGATAGATATGCTAAACTCTTCGAGCTGTTAAATTTAACTTAGTATTCCTGCTAGATTAAGAGTTCAGTCCCATATCTGGGTTATGACTGTTTTTTAGGTTAACTTAAGCCTTCTCTTATCACTACCTAAAGTAAGGACTAATTTCCATTGGGAATGGAAAGTACGAATGTCTGCCTTTGAGTTGTGGTACTGGAACACAACACACTGCCAAAAGAACAGATATGTCAAAGAAAAAGTGCAGTCAGAGTGCTTCTAGGAGGCAGGGATGGTGAAGCTTTGTCTCTCATACTTTGGACACATTGTTAGGAGTGGCTACTCCTTGGAAAGGGATATAATGCTTGGAAAGGTAGAGGGCCAGTAGAAGAGAGGAAGACCTCCAATAAGAAGGTTTGACACAGTGACTACAGCAATGAGCTCCAGTATCTCAGAGGTGGTAAGGATGGCACAGGATAGGACAGGATTCCTACTGTCTTATTCCTGTTGATCATGGGGTCGCTAGGAGTTGTACTCAACTCGATAACATCCAGCAGCAGCAACAAGTTTTGTTCTTTCCTTCTCAATGCATGGAGGAATTGGTCCCTGAAAGCCAGGAGTAGCCATGAGATGAATCCTCGCCAATGAAATGTGTCCTTCCAAGCTGACACACTTAGCTGCCCATATTCTTGCCATGAGGCAACAAAGCTTTGAACTTTAATTCTGAGACATCATTATGAGATGATGAAGACTGTTGGCCCGGGTCTTCAGGCCCTACCACTGAGAATACACACACACACACACACACACACACACACACACACACACACGCATGCGCACCACAACACACACGGCCAGTGGTTCAAGGTAGAAAATTACTTAATTATTAAACACTTTTAATTTACTGAAGATAATAATGTGATATCCAAATAAATCCCATGTTTCATAATTAAAAGGTTACAATAAGAGGGTAGAGAAAATGGTGCAGTAATGAAGGAATGAAAACCCAAAATCCCTGTAAATGTTCATTAAAACCAATAAAATTTAAAAAAAGGTTACAATAAAAATCTACATAGGTTCATTACTTTTTAAGATACCAAGTTGGTGAATCATTATACCACTACTGTATCAGGCCACTGCAAACTGTCATAGAATTAAACTTCAATATTTAACATGCAAAAATTATAGGCATTGTTCGAAATAAAACAGTCATGGTCACGCTGACCAGGAAAATTATGTGATTAACAACAATAAGCAATACCATACTAATATGCTAAGTGATCATTTTAATGCATTTTCTTGCACGATTTTCCAGGAGAAAAATATCCCCATATAAACAGATTTAAAAGATAGAGCATCAAAATGACACCTTGTGAGTTTTTATTTCATAGCCCTGGATTTCACTGGCAAACACTACACTCCTAGTAAAAGGAGTCATATGACTT